AAACCTGCCAGCTAGGGTATATGTGGCTGGCGCCCTAGCCGCTGAGCTATAGGCGCCGAGCCATGTCCCTTTTATTTCCAAGGAGCAATGCTAAACACCTTTCCTGTCCTCCACTAGTAAGGTTCCTCTTGCTCTTATATTTGACATTTTGTATCTCCAACAAAGTCACAGATTAGACCTAGTAAAAGCTCTCTTACGTCAAACCATCCCAAACTGCTAGATAAAATACATCACCCATGCCCTTCAAGGCCCAGATGAGCTCATTGAAATGAACAAGAACAAACACCAGACAGACCACTGGGACACAAAAGAGAGTCTAGAATAAAGCCTCCTGTGTGGCCACCTGACTTATGACAAAGCTGGGATGCTGAGCTGAGACTCAGAAGACGAGAGCGTCTCTGAACAGGAGTGTCTCCCTGTCTGGGAGGAATTGGCAGAATAGGACTCTGGTTTCCTACGGAAAATGTGATCATCTTAATGGCTGAACAAAAATGATTCAGAAGCTTCAATGGAGAAAACTAAAGATTTCAAATTAAAAATCTAACTCTATGTTTGCCCTTCATTGTTTTGTGGCTTCTCAAGAAATCACACTTTAGGGCACATCCCAAACTCTAGCTCCTTAGAGTCCCCTGGAGGTGCTGGGAGACAGATCACTGGGCCCAGCCCCAGAGTTTCTGATCCTGTAGCCCGTGGAGGACCCACGACCCTGCACTTCAAACAAGAGCCGAGTGATCCTGACACTGAAGCTCCTGGTCCCCTTTGAGAATCACTACCCTAAGGCTGAGTGCTCAGGGTTGGGATGTGTTTGGAAATCTGGAAGCAAAGCTGATTTATTTAACACATGCTCTAATGGAAAAGGTTCTCATTTGCCAACAATAAAAAAAAAAACCTATTATAAAGAATGCAAGTTTGTGAAAGTAAAAACCAGTATTACTTAGAATGTGCCATTTTTAAAGAAGGATAAAATTTCCTTTTAAAATAAAGCTCTTAGAATATTACCAGCAGAGGGCCATCTGGCCCATGGGCCCTGAGGTAGAGCTCGGAGAGGGCTGGCTCAGTCTGCAGGGGATGTGGGTCCAGGCCCTCTCTGGACCTTCATCACTTCTCTTTCAAATGAAAGTTATGGGGCCTCCTCATTGTTCCACAGAAACACAATGTGAAAGTCCTTTGAAAGATACAAAGTCTCATGTAAATCTTTTTTTTGACACAGAATCTCACTTTGTTGCCCTTGATAGAGTACCATGGCATCATAGCTCACAGCAATCTCCAACTGATGGGGTCAAGTGATTCTCTTGCCTCAGCCTTCAAGCAGCTGGGACTACAGATGCCCGCTACAACACCCAGCTATTTTTTGAGATGAGCTCTCACTTTGGCTCAGGCTGGTCTTGAACCCATGAGCTCTGGAGATCCACCTTCCTGTGCCTCCCAGAGTGCTGGGATTCCAGGTGTGAGCCAAAGCGCCTGGCCTAGTCCTATGTAAATTCAAATCTAAATTATTATTTTCTCTTCAGAAGTTATTATTGAGATGAGTTAATTAGCATAATCAGCATACCTCCTGTGTGTATAATATGTGGGTGGATATTATACTGCTCTATTTCCTATTTACACAATTACTTCTTGTCTTCATAATTGTACAAGTATGTCCTTTACCTCCATTGCTTTCTCATTCTCTCTGGAAGTTTCTTCTTGACAGGAAAGTTCTACATAGTATTTCTGGACCTGTCTTTTAGCCAAAGACTCATTGGTATAGAGAGAGAACAGAGAGTCTAATTAAATAGCCAAGGGGAATGGGCTGGAAAACACAGCAGAGATCGTTGAATGACTCAGAAGAGTGAAGCCAACAACTTGTAACCCCAGCAGCCCAGCACCACCATCTCGGGGCGGGGAGGGGGATGGGAAGCAATTTTGGAGCCTCAGATTGTAAGGTATGTTGGGCCTATGTGCCTCCTTCTGTGAGGCTGAGGCTGCCTGGATTTTTCAATTAGGAAATAGCTAAAGGGCCTCTGCCCACTCACCGTTCCCTCGGACCCCTCTCACATCGGCCATCCATGTGATGCTAATCCACAGAACCAGAGCCCGAGCATTTGTCCAGAATGGGCCCCTCCCTGTGGGATTGGTGGTGTGTTCCGAGTCCCAGGTGAGGAACAGGAGGACAGTGTGTGCCCAGTGCGTGGCCCAGCTCTCCCCCTGCCACCCCAGCCCACTTCAGCTCCCTTCTCTGATGGGAGGCTGGAGTTTGGCTGTCCATAGTTCCAAATTCCTTTTATCTCCAAAGAGATTTTATTCACTTGCCTTTTTAGAGAGCTGGGAGGTAAGGAGAAGGAAGCCTTCAGGGAAAGCAGGAACAATGGGTCACAAAGTCAAGTGGCACCTGCTGCTCTGTCCCACTATGGAGAGCATCTGCTGCTCCTTCTTCAGCTCCCCACCTTGTCTGTCCGAATTCCACTCACATCAGCACTGCTAGTGCCACATGGCAAAGGGAAAGTCGTCCTGGAGAAAGTGCTCTGAGGGCGAGGCCTGTGGCTCAGTGAGTAGGGCACTGGCCCTATATACTCAGGGTGGCAGGTTCAAACTGCTTCAGGGAATGTGTCCAGAGGAAGCATCAGAATGTACCCAGGCATTGTGGCAGGCACCCGTGGTCCCACTTACTTGGGAGGCTGTGGCAAGAGAATCGCCTAAGCCTAAGAGCTGGAGGTGCTGTGAGCTGTGATGCCACGACACTCTACCAAGGACAACAAAGTGACTCTGTCTCCATTTTAAAGAGAGAGAGAGAAAGTGATCTGAATTGTACACAGGGGTCCCCAGGAAGGCACAGCAGAGACAAGCCTTGAAGGGCAACACGTGGAACAGTAGGAGCTCTGGGCCACGCTGCCTGGGTGTGAGTCCAGCTCTGAGGCTTTCTGAGGCCAGCCGAGCTATTCAACCACTTGTTCCCTGTCTGTGCCATGGAGGTGATAATGCTGTCACCTCAGAGGGCTGCTGAGTATGTGGGATGAGGAACGGCTCAGAGCTTGGCGATCTGAGTTGTAATTAAATGGCTTGGGAGTGTGGCCTAGACTGATGAAGAAGGGCTGAGGTTGTAGCCTCCTGGAGGGTTTTTCTTGGCAAGATGCTTCCTCTGGACACATTCCCTGCAGCAGGAAATTCAGAGAACTGCACTCCTTTTGGTGGGTCAAGGAAATCTGAAGCTGCGGCCCCTGGCAAAGGGTTCTCTGCAGAAACAGTAATAACACAGCGCACTTCTCTCTCTGCAGACCACAGAGGATGAGCCTTCTGAAAAGGACGCCCTGCAGCCTGGCCGCAATATTGTGGCCGCGGGTTATGCACTGTATGGCAGTGCAACCTTGGTGGCTCTTTCCACAGGGCAGGGAGTGGACCTCTTCATGCTTGACCCGGTAGGTACAGAACACAGAGGCATCTATGCTTTGGGGACCCACAGTCCCCTGTGCTTTAATTCTAGTACGCTGGGATAATTTCCTGGTCATTCCTTATACTTGTTTGGGGGGGGGGTCAGAGAACCTAGTTTGGGGACCCAACACCATGGTCAGAAAAGGTGATAGACCTCTGTCCAAGTGAGAGCACGTTGGGGGAGGGAGGTTCTAGAAAGCCTATTGCACCAACTTAGACCCATCCTTAAGGAGTTTATTTTTCAGCTCAGCGCCTGCGGCTCAAGCGGCTAAGGCACCAACCACATACACCTGAGCTGGTGGGTTCAAATCCAGCCCGGGCTGCCAAACAACAATGACGGCTGCAACTGAAAAACAGCTGGGCTTTGTGGTGGGCACCTGTGTCCCAGCTACTTGGGAAGTAGAGGCAGGAGAATCACTTGAGCCCAGGAGTTGGAGGTTGCTGTGAGCTGTGATGCCATGGCACTCCACCCAGGGCAACAGCTTGAGGCTCTGTCTCA